ATATTTTCGTTGCTGTCCCTCGAAAACGAGAAGATCCGATCATTTTTGAAATCCTACCTCTTGCTCTACCACTAAACCAAGCCAGTTCCTCAAAAAAGGTTCATAATTGAATGAGAAATTGATAGGTCTTCCGAAAATTCCTCAACTTTTTGCTGAGAATGGCATTCTCAAATCAATTGAACTTACCCAGTTGTTTAGATAAACGAAGAACTCGAGGAAGCGTTAGAGACTGTAGAACACACGTTGATCGACTCTCATGAGAAGCGAATAGAGGAAGACAAGGTATTCAGCGGGAGTTGATGAGAATCTTGGCTTTCCTCTTTCAGAATCGTTTTTTCTTAAGCGTTATTGAAGCGTTTATGTTGAGGTGCTTGTTTTCTGTCTTCTTTATTTTGGGTTCTGTACAGTATTCCTACGCCGTCATTGATATTCTCTCGCCATGATCGTTTTAATGATTGACTTTTTAGTGCTCCATTGAAATTTTCGATTAGCAAAGTTAGTCTTATAGTGTTTTTGATAACTCATTTTTTATTACGATGCTTGAGAAGTGTTCCTTGTTATGCTTTTAGTTATCTTCCTTGTGTCTTTGTCTTTTCGTTATCATTCAGTTGAGTACTTGTTACGCGGATCGACCTTCAATAAGGCCGCATCTTTATTGAATTACGGGTGTTTTTATGTTTCAATAGGATTGATGCCACAAAATGATAATCGTATTATCGATTGAATGTGGGTATGTTTGGTGATATTAACTTTTAATAACAGATTTTATAGGTTTTATGAATTATTGTTTGTCATTGCACTAATGAAGTGTATCATCGATAGATTGGTCAAATTGATTGTACAGGAAAGAAAAGTGGAGTTTGGAAGAAATCTGAAGGCAACTTAGCAGATATAAGGAAGAACCCGTTCAGGAACGACTGCAGTTTTTTTTACCAGTTGTTGAGTGCATGAGCTTTTAGCGATTCACTAAATGAACACTGAAAATTCGATAGAAAGAAGGTGGATACGGCATTCAGTACCCCTTAAAAGCTCACGATTTCCGTTTTCCGATGACTTTGGATCAAATCTATCAAATCAGATATTTATAGAGAAATTAATCATTAGTTGTTCGATAAACCACCAGGTGAATGGGGTGTTAGTGTCGAACGGAGCCAACTACTACTGCTGCTACTTCTTCTTCTAAACGTACGATATGATGGTCAAATATTATCACAAAGTCCTTCGCCATCCCGGTTTTAGGTTACGCCGGAGGTAGTCAATTAGTGACACACTCGTCTGGGAGGAAACCAATATGGGAATAGGTGATCCCACTGTCGCTGCATAGGCAAAATCGCGTTCAAATACAACTGTAATTTCAAATGAGGTATAATTAAACTCGTGGCGCATTCCGAAAAGGACTGACTAAGTTGTCGCTTTGTTCATAAACAGCAGCTTATCAGGAAAATTGAGCAGCGCACTGTTTTCATGATCGAGTAAAAATGCAGGGAAAAGAATCTTTCACCGTGAAATTGAAGGAGTAGGAGCGTCAAAGGTTGCCATAGCAACCAGGGTTTGGGTTTCAATCCGGTGTCGGGTGTCAACAATTTACGGGCCGTCCGTTCCCGGATTACTTCACTCTTATTTTGATCTTAACATAATAATGTCAACTATGATTAATGATGATCGCCATTTTCTTCATAATACTATGAACTGCGCTAGGTTGATCGATCAGCGGTTCCACGAAGAGAATTCTCGGCACTATTGCACTACATATTACAACCCCAGTGGGGTGTAAAATTTGTCACCCATTGGAAGTGAGATTTGTAGAAAAAAATTTTCTGCTGAAACATCTCCTATGGGGGTGATCGAGGGTCCTAATCGCGAATATGGCACCAATTTTTGGGTGCTGGTGCTAACGCCAAAAAAGATGTCATATTCGTGATCACAAGCCTCGATCACTCCATAGGAGAAGTTTCAGCGGAAATTTTTTTGACCCATTTCACTCCCTCTGGGGTTATAATAGGGTAGTGCCAAAGCCTCACTGTGAACTAGGATTATGACACTTCGTGCTGAATCAAAAGTGTAATGTTAGGTAGCCAATAGTTAGGTAAAGGTGAGAATCGCAAGCTTTTAAGGAATCTTAAAACTAGAGCCCGCTTATGATTGTTAAGTTTTGAGATTCGAGCTAAATTTTGAATTCAAGCTAGCTAAAACGCAACTGCTGCATGCGCGTCAGAACGTCGATCCCAAATCTGAGAATCTCAGAGACATTCTACACATTATGGCCAGGAATAATGCCCCTGCTGTAAGGTTGCCCCCACACTTTTCGTTGCGGATGGCCGGAAGCTGTATGTGAAGGGGGCGGAGCTATGTTGGATTTAAAAGGAAGCAATTCACGCATGGAGGCGATAACGCAGGTTTCGATAACGTCCGTGAGATCACTGTTAATGAGCTTAAAGCAACAGTTCAGGAACGGTTTCGCGGGAAAAAACCACCAATAATGAAGTTGTAGATGAAAACCAGACGATTAATGTATGAAAAACTGGAAAAAAACGTCGGGGAGGGTCTTAGACAGGTACTCTCCCTCTGCCGCTCAGCAATGGATAAAGACGCACGTTGGACGAGTTGTCTGAACGTGCCCGCTGTAAACGCGCTCCATTTTTCAATCAATTTTCCCTGTGGTCCCAAAACGAGCACGATTGCCGACGCGTCCAATGACGGCCGGCAAGGGGGCGGGATTGGGGAAATCCCCAAGAACACCCATGTTTGAGGGACTTTCCACCCTGTTTTTGAGTTTCTGAGGTAAGTTCGTTTATTATTTCCACTGCATATGTTCTTCACTAGGGCTCGTGTATCCCTCAGTAGTAGTGGCATTGAAATTTTCGGACCCTCCCTGAACTGTTGCTTTAAGGTCCCAACCACGCCCCTTCTCCCCCACCCAGCGCTTAAAGGCGTATAGCATACATGACTGTTCAATCACATCATCAAGCCGCACTGCCTTGCAGCTACCGTAACACTGCTTTTGAGACCCAGCTTTGGCTATTCGCTCACTTACTAGAACACGCTACACACCGCCTGTGGATGGGTTTGGCCATAAGCCAATTCTATCATAACATGTGAAAAATTAAGTTTCTATGGGAGCTCTCGTTAGATTAGGAAAGGTGTAATGGATTAAAAACATTATACCGCGGAACTACACTACAGTGCGTACCAAAAGTATGTGGACACTAGAATCGATTCTCAGGAGTCAGCTAAAGGCTTTTTGTGTTATGAAACCTTCACCATTCAACTCCTAGTGGTCGATAACCTACAATGACATTCTCGGCAAAAGATTTCGTTCTAACTTAGCGAACTATTTTTCATGGAAAGTTTTTTCTTTGTATCAAAATTATGTGGACACCCTGAGGCAGATGAAGTTTTTGCATCGATTTCCTAACCTATTTTTACTTCTCCTTTCGTTACTTATTCTGGCATCATTCCTCTTCACGGCAAGCGTTTTTCTGAAGAAGACCGAGCACAGAAATGGGATCCCCATGCTTCTGAACCTTCCTATTGCGAAATAGCACGTCAACCAGTCATGCGTCCTCGTAGGTTTGGAGAGAAATCCGAAATCCTGATGCTAAGCTCTCGACCTTGACTGAGGGTTGTTCTCAATCGCTACTTGTTCAAAACAGGAGAAAGAATAGCCTTAATTTTCTCAAATTATTCTTTTCGTACTACTCAACTTTACGCATAAATGATCTTCCCGATCTTAAAAAAGACCAATCGGTGTCTCATTCAATCAATTGAGCACACGACACGAAAGAAGATGAAGAAGGCTTTGTATATGAATGCGGGTTCAGGTTGGCAAGGTTGGAATTCCCACTCAAAAAAGGATCAACATGATACTCTTGAATCCCCACTTTGAACCCACACAGACAGTGCTTTCGTGGAAATGGTAAAATTAGTATAAAAGACTTTCTGTGGAAATTTCTCTCATAGACCAACTCGACTGGCAGAAAGAAGCTTATTCCTTACTATTCGGGTGGGTCTTGAGGTTTTTGGAGAGACTTTGGTCGGACCCGCAGATGTGCTCGAAGAGACAATTCGGAAGATGTTCATCAAAGGTCTGGGGTGGTTCCAAAAGGAGGGGGACATTGAAGTTTGGCTTGCCAACATGTCAGGTAGACGACTAGGATTATAATGAGGTGCTTGAGTCCCGGCTACAACCTTTTTCGAAAGTCATGGTTGCAAATCACTTGTTTTGCAGGGGAGGTCCCTGACACCATTCCATTTGGAAAAATGCTAAACGCAACGGCTTTGATTGGCAAGTCGGCTAGCGTATTCCTCAGACTTCATCCTTATTGAAAACGTAGAGGTATCGTGGTTCGCGGTCTCTACGTCATTGAACAAAAGAGTAATATCACAAGTGACCTAACACGTCGGTGAAATTTGCTGAGTTGGGAACAGATCTGCAAGACATGTATCCAGACCCGTTCATAGCATGCCAAACAGAATGGCTCAACTTACTAGAAACTTTGGTAGGCCTACCGATTTCAGATTCTGAAGATATTGCCGTTTTTCAAAAAGTGTCCACATAATTTTGATACAAAGAAAAAACTTTCCATGAAAAATAGTTCGCTAAGTTAGAACGAAATCTTTTGCCGAAAATATCATTGTAGGTTATCGACCACTAGGAGTTGAATGGTGAAGGTTTCATAACACAAAAAGCCTTTAGCTGACCCCTGAGAATCGATTCTAGGGTGTCCACATACTTTTGGTACGCACTGTATACTCTCAGCCCTTCATGATACACTAGCAACCACCAGCAGTGACTGTCATCATTTCAGGCGATGCTTTCGGATGTGCATCTCCACACACTGGTTATCGAACCGAAAAGACCACCACCTGCTGAACATGTGGATGGCTCAACGATGACCGATCCTTTGCAGGTTCGCGATGTTGAGACAGATCCAATGGAGAGAAGATCTATTGCCGTTGGAACGGAAGCAGATGAGGAGAAAGCGACTGCTGAAGGGGTTATAATCAAGGAAGAGGTAAGGTCATGATGATGTATGTGAAGGGCAATATGTGGGGAGGAGACGCGTGCTTCTTCCCATGACGCAAACTCGAGCTAGTTCGTGCGCAAAAAACACGAATTCCGCGCACCGTAACTCGGTTTGGGTGATCACCTTAGCTTTCTCAAAGCTAGCTGTACGGCATATGAACGCGGCGCGAGCGAGGGAGTGCTCATATTTGCCGAGTCACCTTCAAAGGTTCACTTCACGACTAAGTTGATGTGGTTATTCCACTTGAATATGGAGCTAGGGATGCTAAGTATT